TGGTCCCCGCAGCCGCGGGGGGAACAAAGAGGAAGGCGGGGGGGTGCGGGCCGGGATGCCGCGGAGCCGGTGGGGAGCGGGCGGGCCCCGCGTGTGAGCACGGCCGGGGCGGGTCACGGGCTCTGCGTGGATGCTGCCTTAGCGCCGCTGAAGGGTTTGGGCGTGTTGGTTTGTTTTGTGTTTTTTTTTTTTTGCTTCCCTCCTGGAAGTTTCCTTCCTCCTTCCCTTTCTCCACCCCTTCCCCAGTCACTGCATTTCCTTCCCCTTGTGTCTCCCCGACTAGAACTCCTGCTCCATCCCCTCTCCTGAGGAGAGGATAGTGCTGCTTCCTGCTAGGCCAGGAAAGGTCAGGACAACAATATGCTTTTCTCTGCAGAGCTGTGAATGATTTAGCAGTCTAGCTCTCCTGGCACAGCCATCCGGCAGGCAAGTCATAGGAGAGGGATGGAAGACCAAGTGATCTTAGGGCAGTGTTAGAGCTGAAGAGCAGGGAAGAGCAGTCTCCCAGATGTTGTCCCTTGGCGTGATCCGAGGTGGTCGTAGTGTTCCCTGACTCCACTCCCATGAAAGTCCAAGGTAGAGATCCTTTCCCATATCCTGTTACTCTCATGAGGCTGGACGGCAGGAGCAGCTCCACTTACTGCTGTGAAAGTGGCAGATCTCTTAAACCCATGAAGATGACTGATTTAAAGAAATGTTTCTTCTAGTAAGTGACTGTGCTAAACCATCACTGCTGCCTCGTTCCATTGCTACTTGCACACACAGATTCAGAATAAAGAGGACAGAGGGAATTTCTGGAAGAGAGACCTCAAACTTCAAGAGTTGGCTTTAATTTAAATAAATTCAAGTTTTATGTTTTAAAAAGAGTCAGCTAGGGGACTTTCACTTAGCATATGAAAAATCCAGGTTAATTCCTGCAACATTATGCACAAGTCATCTCAGGGAAAGGATGGTAGAAGATCTTTAATGTGTAAAGCCCTGGTAAGCCTCCAGAGTATGAAGTAGGAAGGTCTAGAGGACAGATATGTATAGCAAACCCCTGCCTTTGCCCTTCTAACAGTCCTCACTTGGAGGCGAGTGGGTGGCCTGTTGTGCTGGTCCTGCACTGTGCCTGGGCCCTGTGCTAGGACCAAATTAGCTTGTCCCGAGCCCTAGCTGCCAGAGGTTTTTGAGGGCATATCACCTCTGGGAAGAACTGTTGTAAGTTGCATCTCCCCATTGATTGTCACAGAGACCCCTGTATTGTCAGTCAACAGTAATTCTTTATCTCAGATGCTTACAAAATGCTGTGTGGTGAAACGGATACTGAACTGGGCCCAGTAGCAACACCCAGTGTCATTGTACAAGTTAATGTTCTGTGTAGATGCTTCTGAAGTTCATAATGTGTTAAAAAGTTTCCTAAGCTGGCAACTGCATAACACTGTGCTTGCTAGATGTCAACTGATCCCTCACCAGTTAACCATCTCTGCCAGCTTCTCTAATAGTCATGAAATGCATCAGGGAACGTTCAGACAATCCAGATGAAACTTTGGCTGAAGTCCCTGTGGAACAGTAGTGTCGCATCCATCTGTGTTCCAGTGTGAGGGTTTGAAGACTAACTCTTTGACAGGACAGGTTCTGGTAAGCAGAAAAAGCCAGAGACTGAGAAATATCTGTGACCCTAAAGCCTCTGAAAACCAATCTAGACAAGCTTTTAGTGGTCCTTGGCAAGCATCAGTTTATGAGATTTTAGCACTTGCCAATAAACCTGGTTTATCCCTGCCTGGGGTCTCCTGAGCTGGCTGGCATACGCTGGCTCGTAGATCTGCCTTCTCTGCCTGATACTTCTGCTAACGAGGGTTCAGAAGGTAATTTCTGCTCCAATTTGTTGGGCTCCTCAATGGCAATAAATAAGTAAGCTTGCCTTGGCAAACCTTAGACTAGTTGTGTGTTTACAGTGCAGCCACACATAAACAATACGAGTTTAGATAGTTTGGGGTTTTGCATTTGTTCTATTTTTGGTTTTATCGGTAAGCTTATGACTGATGAATGTGCTGGTTTATGATCTAAAGTAGGTCAGCGCGTTATTTTAGTTACAGAGTTGTAATAAGCAGCATCACTGTAAATAGTCTAGGTATTTGGCAATATAAATTTCATTACAGATGTGCTTTTTTTCTTGAGTTTTGAGTAAAATAGAGGTGATTAATGAAATTGTCTTTATTTCTTAATAAATAAGTCTGCATAGCTTACAACACCTATATGTTACTCATAATCTCTTTGTCATATAGTGTTTTCTGCAAAACTTCTAGCATTATAGAATGACAGCAACACAGTAATAAATGCTGGAACAAAAAGGCATTTGGGCTCCCAAGTCAGGAGGAACGTGATTTCCCATTATCAGAGCCAGTGTTCAAAGCAGAAGGCTGTCCTTTAATCTCTCAGCAGAGCTTATTTTAGCCTGGAGCTGTGCTCGGCGGGCTGTTGTCCGAGTGTGGTGTTGGTAGGTAGGAAAGGGGCACGCTGGATGAATGCGAAAGTCAGCGAGTGACCAGCCTGGCTCCCGTGGCTGGCACGCGGCTTTTTTTATTTGAAGCACATACCTGACAACGAAGCGGAGAATGCTTCCCCCCCCTGCAGACACGGGATTTATGGCCAAGGCTTTTGGAACAAGCAAAGCTCTAGATGCAACTGTTTTTCCTTGAGGACTTTATACTTTTTGTCCTGATTTGACCTTTAGAGGGATTGGTGACAGCTGCTCTTGACACACAGTGTCCTGACAAATGGGAGGTGGTGTTTTGACTGGGCTCGCTGCTGCTAGCATAGATGCCACTCAGGACATTCCATATAAAACAATTTACATAACAAGCAGCACAGTTTTGGCTTGTGTTTGCCATGTGGACTAGGAGCTCCGGGTTTGCCGCACGGCATCACACGCTCATTATTTTACACTTGTGTTTCGTTAACAGAAATTTAGAGATGCTACTCTTTCAAAATGAGCATGCCCAACACTGTTGCCCCCAGCCCACGATGTATGATGTTTCTGGGGCATTTAGAACAGCCTTTGTGGCTGTTTCCTGGGATGCAGGAGGTAGTTCTTGCTCATGTTTGGTTATCTTGTCTAACACAGCAGTCACCTTAATCTGGTCCTCACAGCAAAATGGGGCATAAGGAGCCATCCTTTGGGTACCTTGCACATCAAAATGTTTGCACTAGAAATTGTCCCCTTGTGTATTTACATTCAGCATGTAGCAAAAGGAGACTCTGGTAGTTGGTTTCTTGATGCTGGTGCTACAAAAGTAGATGTCTTCTAAGAAATTCAAAGTAATCTCATGTAATTATTTTCTATAAGAATCGTGGTAGGATTGTTACTAGTTCCATCTGTAAATAGTCTAGTCAAAGACTTAACGTGTTTAAAAATATAAATGTGTTGTCCTGGTCTACCCTTTAGGAATTAGAACTGGTGGAGGATGTCTGGAGAGGGGAAGCACAGGACCTTCTTACCCAAATTGCGCAGCTGCAGGAGGAGAATAAGCAACTGATGACAAACTTGTCTCACAAAGACATTAATTTCACAGAAGAGGAGTTTCAGAAGCATGAAGGCAAGTTTGATACTTCAAATTCAGTACCTGCTTTTGTTATAAAAAGCAATACTTCATACAAATATTTTTACTGGATATTCTGGCTTTTTTGCTATAGATTAATGCAGGTCTGGATTTTGGGGGTTTGTTTTTTTTTTCCACTTGAATAGAAAATCTCAGAATACGTGGTGACACTGAAGACATGATAAGAGGTAGGAGGGAAGGAAAAGCCTGAACAACTTTTTGTTTGGCTGAGAAGCATCTCTGAAAGGAAAGTCGAGCTTCATTTTGCAAAAAACATTCTTAAGCCCTCCTTATGTTTTCTAATACAAACGGAAAAGTCCATTCAGCCATGTTTATTTCACACCATTACGCACAAAAATAAGTGCAAATGTTGACCTATTCAAGATAACTGTAAACCAGCAAATTGAGATTTCTTTGTCTGCATTGTATCAGTCCACCGTATGGAGATATTCTAGGAGAATATCATGATACTCTCCTAGAACAGGAGAGACTGATTTTACCTGGTTTACCTGCCTCTAGGCTTCCCTCACTTGTTTGGGACTTATAACCACTTTAGAATAAGTGAAGAGATTTACAATCCAGGGGGTGGTGAATCCTTGGTAGGTGAAACAACCAATTTGTGGGCAACTTCTTTCTTGAGGTAGAACAAAGTCCAAGACATAAGATTCTGACTTGCAAGTACAGGTAGATTTCACTGCAGCACCTGAAACAATAGTCATCCTCAGCTGTCACCCACAGCTCAGCAAAAACCTCCTTCCCAAGAGCAGGAGCAGATGAACACATCTGTTTGCTCTACAGTTCATAGCACATCGTTTGAGGCTGCTCCATACCGAGTCCATTTAATGATACTTTGCTGGGGTTTAAACTGAGGGCTTGGAAAAAAAAAATGACTGCAGCTTTGGGGATGAGGCAGCCTTGAGCTGAGCGATGGGGCGGACAGCTGAGAATCACTCCAGCAGCAAAACTTGCCTGTGATGGTGAGTCAGTCTGGAAGTGAGTGGCTTTCTGAACTGTTTGTACATGGACAGGACTCTGGTCCACTGCTCCAAGCCACAGCTTCACTTTCCTGGTAGGTTCTGATTATCTGTAAAGTCATGGCTCCCTCAAAAGGCTAACATCCTGTGTGTAGCGTGCAAAGTGACTGGCCAGTCTGAAAACCAGAGCACACAGCTGAGCTGTTGCAGCTCTCCAGTAAAGCATTAGGAACAAAGGGATATAATTTTCCAGATGCTGGAGGTTGGGATTAAATGGAGGCTTGCTGTAGGTGGATGAAACTGTCCAACACTGCCGAAGTGACACTTGCTTCCTCCCAGAGGCTGAGAAATGCTCACTTGCCCTGGAGAGGAGTATAATGAAATCTTCAAAAAGTATAAATTGTTAAACCTCTCATGATCACCGCTTTTTTAAAACAAATGCAGTGCTTTCAATGTAGGAGTCAGTTAATGGCAAAGTAGCTGCTCAACATCAGCCTTACAAACTCTTATGCAAAATTTCAGAATGGCAGTGATGAGTCATGGACCATGAAGACTATGACATCTTGTTATAAAGAATCAACTTCCCCTTTGTTTTCTCCTCTTTTTTTTTTCTTTTTTTCTTTTTCCAGTGGGTATCTAGCTCACTGCAGCTCACGTGCTATTTAAATATAGCCATACTCTTCACATCCAGCTAGCCAAGCAGATGCCAGGCATGCTTTTCATGTTATTTTTACCGTGTCTACCCAAGTATAATAACACAAACAAACCCCATAAACCCATTCCACAGATCAGATTCTGGGACCACTGATATTCTTTCGCCAAAATCATCAGTTTAAGTCAAATCACATTAATTTATAGCAACCCCATCTTATTGCTGGGACCCGTTATATCAAACCCAACTGCTTTCTTTTCAGAAAATTTTGTCGTTAGTGAATGGAGATAGATTTGTCTCAGATGAGTTGTTTGGATAGTGTCAAAAAGCAGTCATGCTGCTTTTTTTTCAGCCTCCATCATTTCATCTCATACATATAGAGTCTACAGAGGCAGGTTTTCCAGCTAAATGCTTTGTTAGCTGGACTAACTTGGACCAGGCTCCAGTCTTTGTATCTCGGCACGTTTTAGTATTGTGATCATGTCTCCCCTTAGTGGCTAGCCCCTGGGATTAACAGCTTGCTGCTTACTCACCAGACAGTTAGAGGAGTTATTTTTAGCACAGGCAAAAGAGGCCAGCGATTTGAGCGTGCAAGACTTTGAGATTCAATCCTTGCCAATTAATAGTCACATCAGAGTTCACAGAGCCTCACGTTAGCATAATGAAGGTGTTTATCAGAGAGCCAGATGCAATCCTATCTGAACAGGAGCATTCTGCACAGAGAGCATCTGCTGAGAGGCTGAGCAGAGCAGGGTTCATGTGAAAGGACGTGTGGCAGAATATGAAATACGCAGGAGGGGTTCAATGTGAGCCTGCAAAATCCATTAATGCTACTCCTCCCAAGCTCAAACTGAGCACTGCTTGATGGTGCTGACTGATTGGAATATCCTGGTAACATGCCACAAGCAAACTTGACCCAACATGTGTCAAACAGGACAAGCAGGCTGCTGTGTCACTGCAGCGTGGGGAGCTGCGCTGTCACGCTGGCGGTGGTAATATAGACAAGCAGCAGGACCCAGCAGTTGTGTGAGCCTCTTGTGCCGGGCTGCTGAGGAACCTACAATTCCCTTTCAAAAGTGGAGGCAAACTTCTTAGTATTTAGGTAGTGACACAGTGCCACAGGCCCCCAAGTGGCACTTTGGCCTGTTGTAATAGATGTAGAAACACAACAGGAAGCAGGTCCCTAAACATAAAGGATGTTCTTTTTTCTTTTTTTTTTTTTCATTCCTTTTCCTTTTTTTTTCCTTTCTTTTCCCCCGGCTGCTTTCCTTTCTCTTGCTCCAACAATGCTATGATCACAGCAATCCACAGGAAGCTGCTCATAGGATGTGCCTAGGGAAGCCAGCTGGGTGTGCCATTTAAGATCTTGGAGATATTAGACTTGGAATCATTTAGAAAGAATTACTTTGCATTTAGGGCACTTAGTGATTTCCCTCTCCTCTTCCTCAGAGCCTGAGGAAATGGAAGAAGTGACTGTTTCACAAACACTTCCCACCTTTCCTTTCCCCTCCTCTTGAAATGAAAAGGATAATGTAGTGATCAGTGTGCACAATTGAGGCCTTTATGTTCACCAAATGTTAGGGAGAAAAATGAGCACAGTGGGAGGAAAAGCAGTCAGCACTGAAACGGTACTTTATTCTTTAAATAGCACCTGCTATCTGGAGATCTCAAAGCATCTCACAAGTACTAATGAATATAGCTGCACTCACTATTCCTAGCTCCTGCTGAGGGGAAACTACCAGTCTAAAGTTTCACTGCAGTCTCTCTGTACTTCATGACAAAGTTTTGGATTTTTTTTGTTTTTAAATACAGCTGATGTTTTAGGCCCCAGCCCTGAGACTGGCTGCAGAGGGCGGATCCAGGAACCTGTAGTGAGATTTGTGGATACAGTGGTGTATCAGGCCTGTGTTGTGATAGGAGAGTGTGGAGTTTTTAGAAGAGTTAAGCAGCTGTAAGTGTCAGTGTCCTCCCTGGTGGGTATGAGCTCTTAGCATAGTGAAGAACTAAAATTTTCCTGCGAACAACTAGAACCTAGAGCAGAGAGGTGATGAGGGCCAGGGTCCAGAAATAGAGCAGGCAGACTTACCACAGAATTAAAAAAGATGAGAACGTAATGCTAGAATGTGAACTCCATGTCACACTCAGCTGTTTCCCGGGGTTTGTCAGGAACACGTCCTCTGAACCAAATTCCCAGCCAGCTGTGATCACCAGTCCTTTTCCCAGCAGAGCAGTTAGCTGTTCTCTGCTGTACCACAGCTCCGGGAGATTCTGGCTCCTTTAGCAATGAGGGACTGGAGCTGCTGTTCCCCCCGTTTGCAATGGCACACTGTTTATGCCTGCATGGGAACCCACAGCTGCTGCAGGAGCACACATCCACCACGAGTGACTCCCTTTCCCTCCCTCTCACGTTTGTCTTGCTTTACTGTGTTATCCATCAGTTCCAGCCGTAGACAATCTGTAAGCTGGAGTTCCTAAAGACACGCAGCCTACGTTCTCCTGCAGGAGCAACTCTGGGTTTCTCTGATGAGGGAAGAACATAACCAGAGAGCCTGAGCTGATGTTAGAAAGCAGAGACTTGACTGGTTGGATACAGTCCTGCTTGGACTGGATTTTGGCTGGGGGAGCCACATGTTGCTCTGGTCACAGCTTTTCATCTTCAAGCCATGCTATGGGATGTTGTCCAGCATGTTTTGTGTGATAGCTTAGGACCATCAAACTGCACGCCCCTGTGTGGTTAGCAGGAGAAGTTAGTGTAGCAGATCTATCATCTCACCCAGCCAAATCATCTGGTCTGTGTTTGCTCTGAAGAGCCCATCACCGTAGTGCCAGGAGTTCTCAGTTATCTCCATAACAGCAAATAATGGAAGAATGTTTCCTGTTTTGTGATTTATGACGTTTCCTAATGATTTGTGGGTCAAATTTCAGGTTAATCTAATAATTTATTTTCAAACAGGATCAATGTTGGATTCTTGGCAATGTTCCAAACACCTTTCACAAGTGAAATGCCATGTAGTTTTTTTCTCTGAAGTACGGTTATTCTAAATATGAATTATCATACCATAGGATGGGGAAAGGGTTGTGAAACTTGAGGAGAAAATACGTGACAATAATTCAGACTAAATTTCTGTTGTAGATTCAGGGTAGGGGTGCCCTCTGAAGGTCCTGCTTCATCTCCCTTTCACCCAACACAAAACTGGGTTTCAACATAAAATCATTCTAGTCCAGTGCATCTCAGCTGGTTTGGATCTAGATGCAATCCACAACAGTGACGTGTTTAGATCTTGCTGAGGATCCAGATCATCTTTTTTTACAATTTTCACAGGGTCTTGGCCATTTGATTCTACAGATTGTCATGCAAATAACCAAGCTCCCTGGGGCATGGTGTGAATACTGAGGCAGCAAGGTGTAGCAGTGTCACTGCACGGTTATAAATGTTTCTGAGGACTGTCAGTTCTGTTTTTAAGAAGTTTCTGTGCAGTGGCTTTATGGAATAGATTCTGTCATCTGTTTTCCCTGTTGCTCTTGAAATAACCTTTAAAGCATCTTTGACAGCTTCTCTGTAATTCTGCCAGCAGGCAACTTCCGGAGTCTTTACCTAAATATTTCTCACTGTTACTGTTCTCAGTCTCAGCAGCGCCTGATTGTTCTTAGTTTGTGCTCTGTGTTCTTTTTTTAACCAGGAATGTCAGAAAGAGAGCGACAAGTCATGAAGAAGCTGAAGGAAGTGGTAGATAAACAGAGGGATGAAATCAGAGCAAAGGACCGGGAACTCGGACTTAAAAATGAGGATGTAGAGGCTGTAAGTAGCTCTTAGTCTTCCTGTTTCTCTTCTTTCTCACCCATACTTCCATACCTGGTTTCAAGTTTCAAGTTAATGTAGAATGTGTAAGCAATACCAGATTATTAGTCCAGTAACTGAAGCATTTGGCGTAACTGGAGTGTCCAAAATGGTTAGGTAGTCTTCAGTGCAGACACAGAACATCTGCTGCGTTCCGAAGGACCAGGCACACTTGGAACGTGATTGGAAACCAGTTTAACAAGAGAGGAAGATGGGGGAAGGACAGGTTGCTTTGTTTGTTTCCTTATAGACCTGATATCTCTCCCCTTTCATGAGAACAGGACAGGTAACTTTCTCTGGCTTCTTGAGTCTCTCTGCTTCGGCAGCACAAACTTCCTCAGCACCCCCATGCCTCACCCCACCTGCAGCTCCTTGCTGTAGGTGGGTGGGCTGCTGTGTTTGATACACGCTCTCTGCAGAGTTTGGCAGCAGGCATTCCACACGCACATCCCACGCCAGGGATGCAGTGTGGTTTACCTCTTCGCACAGGAAGAGGGGAGGGGGAAGGGGCCTGAGCCCAGCCCACTTACTTTTGCCAGCAGTCAGCAGACAGTCACCGAGAGGATGGGTGGCCCTGGGGACCACAGCACAGAGATCCGGGTTTAGTCTTAGATGAGTCACAGACTCCACTGTGACTTTGGGAATGACATGATGTCTTGGTTCTTTCTGTGTCAGGAGGAATGACCTCCTTACCCATATTTTGCTTCCCATCCTCCCGCTGCCTCTTCTCCTCAGGCCATGGGACTTTTCTGGTGCTAGTGAGGGCCAGACCTGGATGATCTCTGCTCTACCCACATTCCTCTGGCAGGTGCTATGGGCTTTCAAATTGGTGCTGTCCATACAGTGCCCAGCAGGTCACATCCTGCCTTAGGAGAGAGCCTAAGAGCTCAAAGCAAAGTACTTAACATATAAATGGAATACTAAGGATTCCTCTGGCTTGTCTTTCTTCTACTCTGGGTTAAGATTTGATTCAGAATTCTGTAAGCCACTCTATCCTTGAACATTACTTTTTGAAACATAATATCAGAAGTGATGGATTTGCTTTTAGCTGGAGAATTCCCTGACTGCAACTATAGTAGATATTTAAATATTAAAAAAAAAAATGATCTGGGGGTGAGGAGGAGGAGAAGGGGGGAGAATTTTCCAGATTAAATCCAACAGGAACCCACTACTTTTTCTTTAACATAATGTGTGGGACTTGGGAGTCACGGCTGATGGCTGGATGGATGCTGACCTATTGCATCAATGTTTTGCAGCTTCAGCAGCAACAGAACAGGTTAATGAAAATTAACCATGACTTGCGGCACCGGATCACTGTTGTTGAGGCTCAGGGGAAGGCACTGATTGAGCAGAAGGTGGAGTTAGAAGCATATCTGCAAACCAAGGAGCAGGAGATGGGCAACCTGCGAGCAGAGCTCGGGAAACTGAGAGAAAAACTACAGGGTGAGGACAGCCAGAATGGGGAGGAAGTAAAGGTAAGAGGCACTTTAAATCACTTTTTAAACAGCCTTTTTAAAAGCTCTGGACTTCATACCAAGTACTTTTTCTTCGGATAAACGTGATTGATACACCTCAGAGGCAATGGTGGGACTCGAGGACAGCATCTTGTGTTCAGGTGTGGCATACAGAGAGTAACATCACTCATTGCACTATGACAGGAAAGGCTCTGTCAGGGTGGATGATGACCCAGTGGATCAGACTCCTCTTTCCTAAAGAAGGGAACCGATCACGCAGAAGGCAGAGTGGCAGCAGAAGTTAGCAGTGGGATGTCTGCTTTAGAGAACAGGTCTCCCCTTAGACTTGGCTGCCCATCGTCCATCCTAGGAAGTATAGCCTTTGGGTCATGCAGTAGGCTGCAGAATTCATAGATTTCATAGATTTCTAGGTTGGAAAAGACCTTAGAGATCATCCAGTCCAACCGTAAGATCAAGATACCAGATAATACCAGATAATAATAATCAAGATACCAGATAATACCAGATCAAGATACCAGAAAAAATCATTGCTTTGAAAGAGAGTATTCTATTAAAAACATCGTGAGGCAATCCAAAATCTCTGGAGTATCAGCCGTTAGTTTGTATTGGAAGCACATAGTGTTTTGGTAGTGCTGTATTAGTACGTTTGGCTCCGTTTTGTTTGTACACATCAACCCCTTCCCCCAAAGGAAAACAAACTGATCCCTCAACAGTCTGGGTTTTCCAAAAGATAAACAGCTGACAAGTAGCTTAAGCCTTGCCGAGTATGCAAATATGCAAGCCCTAACGGGTCCCAAACGTGCAATGCACTGTGACAGTGGTGGCACGAGAACCATGGTAGAAAAGAAATGGTGTCAGAAGAGGTCCCAGAGGCAATGCAGAACTCAGCAGTGCTTATGCCACTTCTGATCTGCCAGGACTAAGCTGGTCTTTTGCTACCAAATCAATATATCAATATTTGAAGGCACCTTTTAGAAGAACCAACTTTGATCTTATTTCTGCTTTTGCTTCCTATTAGAATTTGTGCAGTGAAGTGTTGCTAGCACAAATGTTCATGAAAAGCAAATGTTACTGCTTTCATACTCAAGTACTTGCAGGAACAGGCAAAGTGACAATCTGCAAATGGAGCTGGTGCTGAGATCAGAGCAGTGGCAATGCAAACTTGAGGGCAGCTTCCTGAGAAAAAGATGCATCTCTGTTCTCTTGCATCCCTTAGTCCTCATTCTGGTTCTTACTATTTTTCTTTGTGCATATGATGCTATTTCTCTCTTCCTAAAGCAAACGTGCTGTATTTCCCTTTCCTAACGCTGCTCTTAGAAGAGTACAAAGTAGGATAAGGGGTATTGTGATATGAAGTAACTTAGGGGAACACTGTCATACAGAGCTGTTTGGCTGGATGCACTGGGAAGAGCTCCAGTACCAAGCAGCACTGTAAATGCCTTCTAGACTGCAGCAGAGAGCGAAACTTCCCGTTCACTTGTAGGCAGGAATATACATCAAGAAGCAGAGGCAAAGGCTGATGGGGCACCCTGGTCCCCCCTGCAATGTGACAGCCAGTGTTACGCTACCATGTCACTGCCAAATTTGGCAAGCACTGTGTTAATAATGAAAAGGATGATTTCATTGCTGTTAATTCAGCCAGGACACACAGCTTCATAAATGGGGCTGTGGAGCCCAGGCCTGGAGCCAGCAGGAGTGAAAGTGTCTTCAGTCTCTGGAGAGAAAGGATGCATTCTTTACCTCTGTCTAACTCATCAGTTCTGAGGCAATGGTGCGTCTTCTAATTAGAGCCGTTCCCTGCTCTCCCTGCCAGGATGATGGTTAGACAGGAACTGCAGCGGCAAGCAGAAAGCTGGAATAGCTACGTGCTCTGGAATGGACGTTGCTTGTTGGCTTCAGTCAAGTGCATTTGCATTGGTGACAGGCTGCTCAGTCTTTGCTGATTAGAGCAAAAACAGCTTCTTTGGGCAAAAGTGTGGGGCAAATATACAACCAAAAGAAGAGGCATCAGCTCAGACATCATCTAGGAGGAATGAAGAAAAGTGTTTGGGAAATTTCCTTTGAACCTCCTGTTAGATGGCATCAATCTTTATTTATTGCAGTCTGTGTAAAGAAATGCATATGGATGGATGGAGTGAATCAAAGAAATGGACAAGCCAGCGTTGCTCTGCTGCTTCGTCCCTGCAGGATAAGGACTGCAGTCCTGGCTGTAGAAACTGATGTTGCACGAACCTTAGCCCAGCCCAGTTTAACCTGCAATCATGTATCAATAGATAGCAAAACTGTTTTACCAACACATGAGCTCAAAAGAGGGTAGGATTAGGCTCACAAAAAATGGACTATGTTTCAGAATTTCGGTACTTAGCTCCTCAAATTTCCAGCTTGTATCCCAGCCTGGCGTCACTGCAACACAGGAGCTCGGAGGCTCAGTACTGGGAGGGCGAGTGGCCAACCTGGCTGCTGGCATCTCTGATTTCATGTGCTGGACTCTAGTCAGTCCTTGCAAAAAGCATCACATTTCACATGTACTTTGCTGCATCTCAAATCTCCTGTGCTGGAACAGAGCGCCTCGCGTTTATTTGTATTGTGAGAAACCCTGCAGACCTCTGAAGGCTTGTAGCTGCTTTTCAGCATCTTCATTCCGAGTACCCTTCCCAGAAGCCTGTGATTTGTCATTAACTGATGCTCAGCTCTGTGCAGCCACTGAGGAGAACCACCATAGAGGACCTGAACAATGGTCCTCTGTGTGCTGTGCTTATACAGACCACATTTTCACAAACGGATGAGCCAAATAGTTCCGTGCAAGTGCTAGAGTCTACCTGGGTGACAGGAAGTGGCTCCACGGGCCTGGGAATCCAACCACGTCCCTAGAGTGTAAGTTCTGGCTTGTTGAGAGCAGCAGAAACTGGAGGGTGGGAGATAAAATTCCTCCAAGCTTTCAGTGAACTCTTCTCACAGGAGAAGAGGCAGGGGCGCATGTGTCTAAACACTTCATCTAGCATTCATCTGTCATTTTCTTCCACTTTGTAGCTAGATCCTGGTGCTAACACCAATCCTGCTTTTTTAATAAAGGCATTAAGGAGATAGAAACTTAAATCTCCACTGGATATGTTTATCCAGCCATCTGGAGCCATCTCTTTGTGGGAGCTGAGGAGCCATCTCTTTGTGGGAGGAGCTGGAAGGAACTGTCAGGATCTTTGCTATGCAGTTTTTTCAATGTTTATATAAAAGGCTGATGTTTGATTTACCCCATTTGTTAAAAGTATGAATTCCTTAAAGTGACTTGTTTATCAAAAATTGGACTATACGTTTTCACTGGACTCTGGCAGTCTGCATTCCACAGGAATTTATCCACAAGAAAACTTACCACCTATAAGGTGGCTCAGATGGGACCCTGTGTTCGGGCCTGCTAGAAACAATTGGTGTTTTTTTGTTTTCCCAAACATGAAAGATTCCTGTGAGCACAGGGCTTCGATTGTAGGTCACAACACTTAGGTCTTCCCTGTTTGGAAGCTTCCCCCAAACACCAGTTGGAGAGAGGTAAAATGGAGCTCAGATCACCTTTCAGAGGCTTGCCACGGTCTCACCAGTCCTCTGTGTGTCACCCATCAACCTGTGCAGAGGAAAGAACAGAGCGATCAGATCACTGAGCTGTTCTTGCTGATGGTCTTTAACATGAAAAACAAATTCCTTCTACATTTTTTTTCCTCTTAAAATTGCTGTGTTTCTCTTAAAAGAAGATGTAATAGTGCTGAAAGGAAGAGGTTGGGAAATAAACTGATAAATGCTTCGAACTCCTCAGGCATGCACTCACATGGTGAATTTAAAGCCTGCATTTCACTTCCTAGGCAGAACCAAACAATGATGACTGCTTCTCAGAGTCAGAAAAGATGGCAATGGACTTAAAAGATCCGAATCGTCCAAGATTCACCTTGCAGGAGCTCCGGGATGTCCTTCATGAGAGGAATGAATTGAAATCTAAGGTGTTTTTACTTCAAGAGGAGCTTTTATATTACAAAAGGTAAGTAAGATCTCCTCTCCTGTTGCAGGCTGTACACGGAGGAGCCATAGGGCGGGTCTAGAAACAATAAATGTGCTCTTAAATAGCTCCAACAAGCTTATCTTGCTGCAAAGGCTTCAAGTACAGATTGCAAGCATACAGCTTTAGTTTGAATGTGGTTCCTCAAAATGGGGAAAAACTATGTCCTTCCCTAACTCCCATCTTCCTCCTGAATCTTAGAAAGGTTACAAACATTTAATACTTGTGAACTTCAAAAATGAGGATAAGAGTGGGTCTAAAATGAAAATTCTAGAACTTTTAGTCAATGCATTCCTTTTCTCCCTCTCCTTGTCACAATGGGAAGAAAATATTGAAAGGAGACCCAGTTCTAGGTGCTGTTCCTTGGTTGACAGAAAAATCTCCCATTGATTTCAGTGAACTCTGAACAGATCTGTTTGCATTTCTTCATCAACAGTACACCTCAGATTGAATTTTAGAACTTAAGAGTGCTTCCATGGCTTGGGAGGAGAACATTAATTGTATTTTCTTCCTTTCAAGTGAGGAAACAGAAGAAGAAACTAGATCCCCTCAACCTACACCCATAATTCAGTCAAAACCCTCAACTCAGCCTGAATCTGGAATCAAACGACTGTAAGTAGCATATTTTCTAAGGATACTGGATATAGCTGCAAATACTAAATGTTTCTTATGGGCAGGACAATTTTAAAGAATTTAAAAATTAAGATAACCACATCCCTAATGTATATGGGAGAGACATTGGAGGAGCACTTGACAGGTATCATGAAACAGCAGTTGTCTTTGGACATAACATCTAGTTCTGGGTCAGCTTTCAGTCTCGGATTATTTCCTGTGATACTTTTTGCTCCCTGTGTGCAGACACCAGTAGGGAGTCCAACAGTACTCCATGTGCTTGTGTTTAGGGGCCAGACTGGTGTGCCCAAGCAGCCCACTCCAGTTGTAGTATTTCCTCCGTAAGTACCCTAGTCAGGCTAACCAAAAGAGCGTGTGTTGCAGTGTTTTACTACAGCTGGTATGAGCTGATGAGCCCTTCAAGACAGACACTGAATTTTCCTGGAGAATTTTCTTGTCTGAGCCACGTAGTCATACTCCAAAGGGAGGGGCTACTAACTGTAGTCTTATCCAGAGCACGGCTCAGCCTGTCCCGTGTGCCCAAAACTGAGGTTAGTGCTGGATCTCAGTGTGCAAGGATCGTAGGAACAATGCTCCCGCTCAAGTGCAGGTCCCAGTTCCTTAACACACAGATCCTAAGGCCACTGGCCCCCAGGTCGTGCTCAGATGATGTGTAAAGACTCTTGTTCACAAGTAAAACCAGCTGCAGACCTGTAGCAGCTGGGTGTGGAGAGCAAGGTTTCCCCGTGACCTCACTGTGCCCATTTCCCTGTTGACCTAAGCCTTTAGACTCCAGCTTACACTAAGTGTACAGCACAAAATCCTTTTGTGTGCTGAACAAATTTGCTGCTGGAAAGGATGCTGGCTTTCTTGGCTATAAACAACCCCACCTTCTTCTGGTGAAGTATTTAATGTTGCTATCTGAAACCTTAGTATTTCACTTAATTATAAAATCACAGTGTTAGCCAATCCATTCGTCTGTTGAAACTCCCTCCTTGTACATTTATTTATTATTATTTATACCTCTTGTAACCTTACAGCAAGTCTTTGGATTTTCGTGATACTGGAAGCGTAACTTTTTTAACTGTAAAAATTATTTTGGAACAGCCATTTTTTTCCACATAAAAAGCTCTTCCATCCTATCCCCATATCCATAACCTTCAGTCCTTGTTTAATAATAACAGCAGCCCTGTGAGCGTAAGTTCCATTGGAAAATCTGCACTGATCCAAAACACCATAAAGTCAGGAGGGCACTTTTGATTATTTTCAGTACACTCCAACTTCTGTCTGTGCTGCTTGGTTTGCTGAGGGAACCCTTCCTCTCGCATGACTAGAAAATACACTTTGAGTTTGGACTTTTCATTCTGCAACTGTGGTGAGAATAGTACTTTGCCTTATAAGATCTCCACTGTAAAGCTTCTCTTTCCTTTTACATTTATTTTAATACTTTTTAAAGCTCATCCCATTGTGGGGAATGGCAGTTTGTGTTGATTGCAGTTTCCATGCTTGATTTATGACGCAAAGGCAGCATAAAAATGTAAATAACACAAGACAGAGCACACGCTGACGAGGTATTAGCTTTGACTCTGCCTTCTGCATCCACGTGTAAGCCACGCAGGGAGCGTGGCAGGAAGCACGTAAGTGTTTTCAACCAGTTATCTCGGTGCTTTCTTCCTCCCAGTGAATTTATTAGTGAAAACCTGTTGAGCATCAGGCCATTCAATCAATGCACGTTTTCAGACACCTGTCTAATCTTTCTGGTTTTCAGATTCTGTGTGAAGTTCCTATAACTAAAACAGCACACAATAAAACATAAAATCATCTTGTTTTGGCCCCTTTCAGAGAAGGGAAGAGTCCTCTTGTGCCAGACAGCGGAAGCATGTATTGAACCTGCTGTTAAGATGAAATTACTTCCTTCAGATGTCATACTCTGTCCCTGAGTTTCTTTCTGCTCTCTCTTCATTTATTCATCATATTAAATAAGGGAAAATAAAACTGTCTACTTAAGTAACTTGAAGGATGGTAATAATTTTCAGGTTTGTCTTATTCTTGCAGCCTGTCTGGATAGGATTTGTCTAGTGTGGGTTTATCTTCTTTCTCTCCTCCTCTCTGTGTATATTGCCAACAGTGTACTTGTAGACTGCTTTAAAAAGACAGGAAATTAAACAAAAAGCCAAAGTATGAAAATAGGGGACAATGTTGCTGTCCTCTCAAGAGAAGTTTTATGCTTGCCTGTGTCATCTGCCCTTTTTTGCTTGACCACACAGCAGTATCTCAGGGAACAAGACGCGTGTATGTAGCCTGTGCCACCTTGGATGCGCTCAGGTGATTCTGTGCTGCATCCCTGTAAAGGAAGGAAAAAAGAAGTTACAGAAACCAACATTTTTTCACTCCCAGGGTTTGCACATTTCGGGCAAACTCTGCGTTCTCATCTCAGGCTGATTGATTTCTACATTTGTCTCTACCACATCACATGTCAGAGTTTTGATGAAATAATGTAACCAGGAGGCTTTACTGAGGAAGGAAAGTACAAGGATTAAAAATGCTCCCTCTGTTTTGGGCAGAAAACACCCTTTTGTTTTCTCTTTAAGGATACATGCTTGTTTGTCAGTGATGTAATGCCTGAAACAGCCATAAGTTTTCTTCCTATTCTTGCAGTCTACAAAAGCTGATGTGTCTGTCTCGTTTCTGCAGCTCACGGACCATGCCACAATGCATAAAACCAGAAGTCCTAGCTACTGCTAATGATACAATGTTCACTTGTTTGTTTTCATTTTTAACCTAAGAATAGCAGTGAGAGTGACTGTGGTGGGGAGAGCTGCGTTTGGTCACAAGTGAAATGTCTCTCATGATTTCAACTTAATCTTTAATTGACATTAGTCCACAGTTCAAAAAAATATTTGGCACAAGGGAGAACCTCTGAGGAGAATCGTTAGAAAAACAGAGGGTGTTCCAGGTATGGATGAAGGTGTGTTGGCAGGTTTGTGTGGGGCTGGCTGGGCACGGAGCACCTAGCCAGCGTTGCTCTCTCAGCCTCTAAGTTGCATGAATTGTATAATGCATAGTAAAAGTGCTGAATTCTTACAAAGAAACAGTCTTGCTACTAGCCAGCCAGAAAACGTTCCTGCTGGAGTAGCTGCAAGGTGTCAAATAAGTATTTAGCTGCCTGCAGTTGGCATCTTTCTGCATGTGAAGCAACGCAGGTTCTTTTGGGACAGATACACGGGCCCTTTAACCAAGTAGCTCGCAGGGGAAGTTAGTTCAAGGTTTCCCCTGCGATACTGGTTTTTAACTGGAAACTATCAACTGTAACACTTGTAAAATCTTTAACTGTAATGCTGGTCCTGTCTAACCCTGTTTTCCGTGCAAATATCCAGTAGTCACAGCAGAGTCCCGTTTTGTATTCCTTAACATACACCTTCATCCTTCATTTCATGATGTACGTGCCTGTTTGTCTCTTGGGAAGAAAGATGTGCTCTCTGCTCTGCATTGCTAGAGGTGGTAACACCTTGATGAAACCCAACCCAGATTGCAGGCTGCCTCACAACAGAAAAGTGGTATCTTTTAGAAATCCAAAAGCAATTTGAACTGTGACAATGACTGCTTTTTCTAAATAAGAGTTTTTCACTGAGGAGAGCTGTCTTGGGTGATGCAGATCCACCTCTCCCTGTAACATGTCCTGTGTGGTAATTCAAAGTAACCCCGTGTATCATGTTTGCCTCTTTTCTTTTTAATGGAATGCTTTTTCTTTCCCTTGCTCCAGTCTTATCTCTTCTGTGTCTGTACTTTCCTGACCAGGATCTTTACAGCCATAATGCCCATGGTAGCAGCTGGATTGATTCCAGACGATCCCACATTGCAGCCAATAAGAAGACTTGTGTCCCTTGTAGGAATTTTTTTTTTTTAATGTTTGGTACCGTGGTTTCCTTTTGCATGACCCCGTGTTAACGTGCACTGCTGGTTGCATTCTCATCGGCTGCCTGTGGGATCACAGCAGAACAAAGTGCCAATCAGAATGACCAGTCAGTGCACAACTCATCCTAGTCCTCCATGCTCATCCTCCAATATTGACATTTTATCACCTTTTGCCTTAATGTTACCACGCTAAACCAATCATTACTCCTTGGAAAACTGTTGCAATATACAGTTTTAAGCAGCGTCTGTTAGTTTTGCTTACTAAGTGTGCCTATCCACAATTCACACCAGTGCTTTTTAAGAGACTCATCTCATTCTAATGGCTTGTTACAAGTCAGTTAGATTTACAGAATGTCATGGCTGAGATCTACATTAATTTCCAATGTTAATTATGGGCTGTTGCTTCCATGTCTTTTTATCTATGCGCTGTAGATTTTGTCTCTAATTATGTATTTTGGAGTAGAGTATACACTCTCGATGATCAATTCTATCATCCTGTTCTTGGCTGTCCCTGGAAGACGTACTGATGATTGTCAATGCGAAGTCTCTTTGCATTAGAACTGCTGCTTTAGTGATCCTTACATTTACAGCAGCAACAGAGTATTTAAATTCCTTTACTCTCCACACAGACATGCTTTTTCCAAACGTCCTCCATGAGAGTTTTCTAGGCATAATAACAATTTGCATTGTTTCAGAAGGAAATAAAAAAAGCCCTAACCCTTCTGCTTTGTGTAGAGATTTTACAAACATGTTTTTCTCTTCATTTCATGATAAAGTGAAAAATTACTGAACTGTGACATTTGAAACTTACTGCACAAATACAGCAGTCCTCTGTGTGGTCTTCAAGATAGCAAGCCTGACCATGCAGGACCAGACATAGTCAGCAGAAAGCCTTGGTGACTAGACACTTCTTTTATCAGCTGGAATTGGATCTGGCCCTGAAAAGGCATAGCATATGCGTGTGAATTTATGGGCTCTTGTGATGAAGGTGGTAGAAAAGTATGAGGCTAATTAAATGCAAAAGACTTATTTCACTATTAAGGCTGCACATTCGAAGCCAGGAAATGCAAAAGTTCAGGTCCTGCTAGCAATGTTAGTTATCTGGCATTGCACTCGCATAGCATTTGATATCACTTTCTAGTCAAGAAATAATTATTCTTAGTATTCTTGATGTTCTTATCATCATGCTTACCTGCACATATGATAGGATATTTTCTCAGGAAAACTGCCTTAAACCTCCTCTGACACTCAAATACAGCCTCCTGTGACTAAAGACATCGAAGGCAGAATTCTGTGGTCTGCACAAGGCGGCTTGGACAGTTGGGATCATGGGAGACTCAAGGGACTGTGGGTGGAGGAAGAATGCTGAGGACGGTGGGGAGTGGACACAGGGTCAGGTTTATGCCCTGACAGATGTTCCATCACCTGTCAAAGTCGAGTTTGTCTTTGCATCGTCTCTTACTGTAGAAGCATTTAGCAATTCCCATCCTGGATCTGACCCGCGTTATGCTTGGTACTGTGCAAGCAAACCAGTATTTACTTCCTAAAGTGCACCATTAAAGCCACAAGGGTATGCAGCTAATTCAAACCTTTGGTAGCTGGAACCACAACTTTTGCATTTCTCAGCAGACCTAAACTCTGCACTAACACCTCTCGTACTGGACTCACGACGAACGTTGAATTTGCTTAATCAAGTAACTTCACCCTTTACAAATAAAACGATACTAAGGGGTTTTCCAACTGTATTTTTTTAGCTCTGCTGTCAGCTGGCAATTTGTTGTTGTATTAAATGGCTGTTGGTTCACATAGGTCATTATCTTCGAGCACCCAAGCCGTGTGACAGGAAATGACGTGCACACTTGTGTGCGTTTGTTTAGAGCCTTCATCCTGCAAACCCTTGTGCACGTACGTGCATTTGTTCATTTGTTTTTGCAGGAGTCAAGTCTCTGTAGCAAAATCTGTACGCTCGATAAAAATGTGAAGGCTTATTTTCTTATCTGATGGATTTCCCTGCTGACACCCTTAAAAACATTCTCTATTTCTGCTTTATGGTAAATCATACAGATTTAATGCCAAAGATACCACTTTACTTATGCCAAGAAACTAACCTGTATTGTGTCGCTGCTTTATCTCAGGGCTGGGGAAGGGCGAATAGACATCTAGAATGAAACTGCACCTTGTAGAGTCAACAGCATTTAGAGCTTATCTGAAGCTTCCATAGCCAAACCGCTTGAGATTGCAATGACTTCATCTCTAACAACATTTTGACATGCGCTCCCATCAGGCTTCACTGCCTTGGTTTTTGCAGATGCAAACAGATTTTTTTGCTCTGTGTTTTGTTGTGCTGTGTATCGTGTCGGGTGTTTGAAGTGTTTTCAAACGGTAAACAGTCTTCTTTCTTTTCCCTCCTCTCCTTTACTCCTCCCTTCCCGGAAGGTTTAGTTTCTTCTCTCGTGATAAGAAACGTATGCAGGCATCACAGAAAAACGTCCACTTCCAGGATACTTTTGGAGAATGGTCAAATTCAAATAAAGATGACTCCTACACCGAACAAGGACAAGAAGCCCTGCAGCACCTGTGACTAAAACCCTGAGGTGTTCCGTTTACCGCAGTAGATCTTGACAGTCTAGTAACAAGAAGCTTCTGTAAAGAAATCTGGCAGCTCGTCACTTTTATTTGCCTCGCACACCCCAGTGGTTGTGTTTCAGATGTACTCTTCCAAAGGGATCCCGCACTGTTTACTTGGTGACTGTTTGCTGAAAGCAGAATCCAAGCTTTGTTGATACCCTGGGACATCGAAGCTTCTAGATGACTTGTTTTGTGCTGAATAACAAGTCTATGGTCTTGTTGATGCATTAACTACAGTAACACAAGCTTCTTTAAACCAAAAAGAAAGGACCTGTGCCATTATTAGAAGTTTGTTTGCAGTGTACAGTATCTAGTGGCAAAGACTCTTTTACCCTGTTTGTTAACACTATCGGTTGTTTGCTTTTTATTTCTGTAAGAATTTTTTTCAAGAGGGATACGACAGCTGGCCGCTCCCCGTGGCAGGTCTTAGCACTGCTGTCTGCTGTCGAGTTCAGCTGGCATCTGCATTTTGCAGAGTAAACACCTGGAAATCCACCCGATTTAAACTGACAAACTGGAGTAGCCTTGAGAGGGACAGCGAGTGCACGTTTCCCTTGCTGCTTATAGTGCCTAAAGCATGAAGAAACCGATGTGTGAGGTGAGCGTGCCTTGCGTTTTGCCAGCAGTTCGGTGGTATTAATGGAAAACAAATTGCTTACAAGGAGGAATTCTTGTAATTTGAATCTTTTCCTTCTTACCAGGGACTTCCCCCTAGAGTAGCAGACAGCTGCTGCGAAGGAATTGGGTCTCTTCCCCACAGACCGGTTTTTAATTAAGTCACACTCCACTGTTCTGTCTAGGTAAGACTGCCTGTCTTCAGAGGCAAAGGCATCCTCAACTAGTGACATGAACTATTTTAACTGACTTAGAGATGGCCCCAGCTCAAAATGTTTTCTCCAGTCGTAACACTACTTGGGCAGAGCGGATGAGTTCTGTACGTGCCGGCTGCTCCGCTGGCGTGGGTCGATGTTTGGGTGGCCTGCAGTTACAGGAGCTTAACTTGCCAGCAAAAGCCCCGCACAGCTGAACTGCCAGGAGGTGGGATTTCGATCTGCTGCGCGATTCAGCTCGTGACACCTCAGCTGTACTTGAAAACACTAAAAACACTAAAGCCCCGTGCAGTGTCACTGTTGCATCCGGTCTGGAGTCAGCAGCCTCTGCACTGCACGCTCCACCAAGGCACCTCCTCAGGTTGGAAGGGGGTGAGTGTGTCCGTGGCTCCTTGCGAGGCAGGCGCTGGGCTTTCGAGGAGGGTCCGCGCTGGAGCACCGTGCTGCCGGAGAGGAGCATCTAGTTACGACAAGGCCACAAGGCAATTTCTGCTCATGGAGCTTAGAGCCAGGGGGCTGTGAGCTGCTGGTGGCACCTTCTCCCCAGCAACTACACCTGCTCTGTAAAGAGCCTCTTCTCAGGACTGGCACTAAGAACAGGAAACAATGTTCAGGCTGGAGTAAAGCTCCAGCTACTCCAGGTATCCAATGTAGGAAGAAGTCTCGAAGGACACCTAGATGAGAGCGAGCCGGAGGATTTAGTGCTGGCCAGTTGTTTTTAATGCAGGGTGATCCAACACTGTGGATTCTTTAATGTTCTTAGCCCGTCTGTAGTGAAACTGTGCCAGGAAACCGTTCTTCGCAATGAGGGGCTGAGTGCTGCTCTGCTCCTGCCTGTGACTGTGCTGTGTTTTGAACGTGGACCTTCTGTGTGCTCTAGGTAGAGAAAGCGTTTACTGTGCCTCCTGGTGTCGTTGCAGTTTGGGGCAGGGAGGAAATGTGGCCTTACATGAAAGACATCTGAATTTGCAACAGCAACCGTAGCGTCTGACATGTCAGTGTGAGGCAGACAGGCTTTTGCCTGGTTACGTTTTGGTAACATATCTTAAGTTTTATGCTTACAGAAAACTGCATCCATAAAACAGCAGTGCTTCTCCCCTTGTGTGAAAAGCAATTCTTAAATGGAGGGGGAGTGTCTTAATTTAATGATGCTTAAGTTGCTAAGATCTCGGTTTCACTTCCACATTATGGAAACAAAAAAAGTACACTACAGTGGTATGAGGCAGTTAAATTGTGAATGATGCCTGTGGAGTCTCTCCCTGGCATAGTTTACAGCCATTTGGCACGCTGAGAAGAGATGCAGTGATGGGAAACAATGCCAGAACGCGGCGGATGCACAGCCTGAATAAGCTCATTGCTTCTGACATCAGCTGAGAGCAATGAGCTGGGATAGTGGAAATGCACGGACAGACCTGGTTTTCCCTGGCACCTAAGCTGGTGTATTACAAAGGAAATCTCCCAGCCTCGTGCCCGTAAGGCTCGTCCTGTACGCCAGAGCTCAGTGCACCAGTGCCGGGTCAAACCTGGAGCCAGTTCAAACAACAGCACCAAGCAGTACAACCTGCCCCCACTCATCTCTGTAGCCCATTACCTCAAAAGTCTAATTAGTGACTCCTGACCTGCCGGCATTAACCACTTCACTCCTCATTCTTGTGCTACACATGCCGAGTTTAAACACTCCGTTTCCATCGGAAAAGATGGCATGTAGGGAAGAGCATGTAAAGGCTGGAAGATCTGCCATGTATTGTTTCACAATATTCAAGTAAAATCTGCTTTTAGAAACGGGGCCGGGATGCTGTCAGGTAAGGGGCCGAAGAGTCCTGTCTCCAAAGTGCAGGATCACTGAAGTCTTTTGGGTTGTGTTTTGGTTTGTTTTTTTTTTTTTTTCGGTTGGGCAGTAAATCATTTTAACAGTTTAATAAATATTTCTGAAAAACAAGTATTTCTGCAAGACTTGTGTCCTTTCTTTGTAGAAAGTTAATACCATCTTTTCTTGGGGAAGCAGCATACGGGTCTGTCTTCCTTTCCCTGGAAAAGGCTCATACAACTCTTCATGGAAATAAAGCCTCCAACTGAGCAAGGCTTAGGATAGGGCCATTCAAAGGCTGATTTAAAAAATTACAGTTTAAAATACATCAGCAAATATTTAGGAATTGCTTATGATGACAAAGAACATGGCAGAGCCTTTTCTAGAAAGCACTGTAGGCGCCTCAATGGAAGATGCGTGTCTGTACGCACATCCTGGCTCCAAAAAAGGAGACGCTTTGCCCTCTGTTTTCCCCAGTTAGCTACAACCAGCAGCACGCCCAGTTTCCAGAACAAGATTTAAACCCTGTGCAGGCGGGACTTTACTCACAGAGTGCAGCTGCAACCACGTTCAGCCATGAAAATATCCTTCAGTGATTGTCCATGGATTTATCAGGAGCATTAGATGTTTTCTGGCCTGCTTACTGCTCCGTACTGAGCATTCCCCTAATAAAAGGGAAGTACATCATCTCATGATGTAAAATACACATTTCTTACCGCATGGTTCTCTCTCACCTCACAGAACTAGTTAACACAGCATTACTAAAGATCCCACCTGTCCCAGTGTCTTCCAGAAAATAAAGTTGCTTCCTGTCAGCTTCTGGTTTGGGCCACATTTTTCAGAAGCTTCGTTTGTTGCCATTTCATTGCTATTTCTTCAACAAGTGACCTGTGTCATAAAGGGCATGTCTCACTAAACGAGCGTGGACACCTGGCACATAAATAATTAAACACGGAGCTCTCTCATGAGCCCCCATCCAGGCAGCCAGATGGTACCAAACGAGGGGTGCGCTCAGTTTCAGTGGGATGCCCGTACATGCGGTGCATTTCTGACACCATTCACCAGATCAAAAATATTAAAACAAAAGTTTATTTTCTCTGAAGAACAGTTCAACACGTATCTTAACGGCATTAGCAAGCGAACTACAGAGAGCTCCTAGCAGAGGAAAGTCACAGGCACGAGACAGTAACGGCACAGCTCCTTGTTCTGGGAATGCTGCTCACAGCCCCACGCTGAAGGCCACATACGCAACTGAAACGTTGTGGCTGTAAGAGTAGAGACCGTCCCCCAGTGACAAGGCACTGTCCCCTACCGATGCTTACCATCGTCTCTTTGTTTCTTACTATCTCTTTCCCTGCTCCGGTCTCTATCCCTGTCCTTCCTCTCTCTGTCCTTCCTCTCCCTCCCTCTGCTCCTCTCCTCCTTGGAGTCCCTCTCTCTCTCACTTTCACCCCAAGCCCACGACCGCTCCCTTTCTGGCCATCGCTTGTCTCTGCTCCTTTCATGCTCTCTGTCCCTTGCTCGCCAGTCCCTTGTTCCTTCACGAGACCAGTTTCGTTTCTCTGTGGATCCTTCTCCATAGAAATCATTTTTCATGTTTGGCAAATTGATGGGCTTTCGGAAAGGTCTGTCCCGTCCTCCAAACCGTAGCTGCCCAGATTCTTTTTTGCCTCCAAAACCACCTCCAAGCCTCCGAGGAATCCATCCTTTGAGAGTTCTTTCCAGTTCAAAGTCTACAAAGATCTCATGTTGATCAATAACCAGCCTGTTGGCATCTCTGTGGGCCTTCAGGAGAGCACGCTCCTCTTTGTACTCAATAAATGCGTAACCCTTGGAAAATCCCGTGACCAGGTCTCGAACCAGACGGATCTTTCTGATGTCTCCGTACCGGGAAAAGACCTCCTTTAACTTATCTTCTGTTGTCTGCAGATTGAGCCTTGCTACAAAGAGGGTGAGGTGAGGATCTCCTGTAACTCCCTTGTTGGGCACATACCGTGCCAGCATGGCCCTCCATATGGCGCGGTCGTGGGGTTCCTCATCCGTGCCATCAATGCTCCCGGCTTTGAGGGGGTCATACTCCTTTGCTATGGGGGCCCAGTCATTCATTGTCTAGCGGGAAAAAAAAACATACATGGAATAGACTCGCAGCTGGTTTAGGAAGAAGAGCAGGTAGCGCCAGAACCACTTCCCGCACTGCTGCACAGGATTTTTCATCTAAAAATCCCCCGAAGTGTGACACACTCAGATAAACCAGCAATGGCGCTGCTGTTGGAG